GTTTGTCAATTCCTCTTTCATTACTTTAGAAAATGAAATAATGTTCAGTCAGGAAAGAAAATAAGTAAGAGAAGTATATCTGATTGGTTTTCATATTATTTCACCAATATCACACAAAGTGTAGCTAACATAGTGTGATAGATGACTCACCTTCTATGTTAGTTAGCAAAAGATGGGCATAATGGCTGCTTCCTAAATCACTGTTTTTCTTTGATGAATGAGATCAGTTATTTATTACTAGGAGTACTGGCTACTATAACGTTACCATTCCAACTAAGATAATAAAATTAAATAAAACTAGAACATGAGAAAAGCAAATTGTTAATAAATGGGAGTTACTATAGTTCCTCAGCCAGTTAATGCAAGGGACAACAACAATGGGTAGATGTGAAGGCTATAAAGCATTTAAAAATTGCTAGATTATATACTCTCAACAGTGACAGGTCTTATGCAAATATCAGGGGCCACACTTAATTTATTCTTGCTGTGGTAGCAATCTTTACTATTTAATTATTCAGTTACATATAATTACAGCTGTCTCTTCTACCACACAGCATTTTATTTTAACTTGATGCATTACGTAATTAAGAAGCAACCTCAACCCCAACACACAGGCCATCTATAGATTAGGACTTGTATGGATACTGTTTATGAAGATTACAATATTTTCCGATTTTTTCAAGAGAAAAGTGATTGCCCATATTCATTTAAAATGATAGCTGAGAGGCCAGCAGGTGACTGATCCATACTCCCTGAATGTAGTTTCATTGAGTAAGCCTCAGCAATCGCTGGTCCTTGGGTAGTAGATCAGTGTACACCATGGCATATGAAAGAACTTTGTGAGGCCTTACACATGGAGGGGTGCTCTCTCAGCCTGGACGCATGGGGAAGGGCCTAGGTCCTGCCCTGGATAAAATGAAAGACTCTGGAGATCCTCACATGGAGGGCCTCACCCTCCCTGGGGAATGGTGTGGGGACTGGATGGGTAGTTGGGGTGGGGCTGTTGGAGGGAGGAGGGGTGGGAGAGGCAGCTGGGATTGACATGTAAAGAAGCATGTTTTTAATTGAAGCACACACACACACAAATATATATGTATGTATATATATATACATATATGAGATTATCTAGTATAATACTTTCCTAATTTTTTTAGACAATCAATTTTTGATTTCAGGAAAGAGACTTTTAACAGCACAGAGATATTTTAGTGTTATTTAAATTAATAATTTTATAGAAAGTGATGATGGATATCTGTTTCTAAATTGAGAGTAGGATATATTTCACTGATAAATATTTCAAATTAAGAAACTGTTTAGTTTTGAACAAAAAAGGCATTTAATTCACAAAAAATTTTCAATTGACTATTTCTGTGATTGTAAGGATGACAGTTTTTTGGTTTTGATTTTTTTTATTTTTGTTTATTTATTTTTTCTTTTTTTGATTATTATTTTATTATAAGAAACAAGGTTGCTTCACAAGTCAGTTCCAGGGCCCTCTCCCTTTTCCTCTCCTCCTCCCGTGCCCTCCCCCCAACTCCCCCCATTATTATCCCCTCATTTTCCCAGAGAGGGTGAGGCCCTCCATGGGGGTGTCCATAGTCTGTCATTTCATATAGGCCAGGGCCTAGACCCTTCCCCAAGAGTTCAGGGTGAGAGTGTACCTCACATTGTTGGATGGGTGTCCAAAGTCCGTGTGTATACTCGGGATGGGTACTGATCTGCTGCCCAAGGCTCAATAGATTACCTAGGCCTCCTCACTGACACTCACATTCAGGGGGTCTTGATCAGTCCCATGCTGGATTCCCAGGCATTCAAGAGTTAACCTTTGTCAGGTCAGCTGTTTCTGGGGCTTAAACCAGCCCAGTCTTAATCCCTTTGGTCATCAGTCCTCCCTCTCTGTTACTGCCTTTCTTGAGTTCAGCTCAGTACTTAACCAAGGGAGTCTGCCTCTTCTTCGATCAGCCACTAAATGAAGTTTCTGTTTCCTAGACTCTCTGGCCATGGGATTGTAGGGTGGCACTCCCCAGATCTATGTCTAAAATCCATATATGAGAGAGTACATGCCATGTTTCTCTTTTTGTGACTGGGTTACCTCACTCAGGATGGTTTCTTCTAGTGTCATCCATTTGCCTGCGAATCTCAGCATTCCATTGTTTTTTTTCTGCTGAATAGTACTCCATTGTGTAAATGTACCACATTTTCTCTATCCACTCTTCGGTTGAGGGACATCTAGGTTGCTTCCAAGTTCTGGCTATTACAAATAATGCTGCTATGAACATAGTGGAACAGACATCTTTGTTGTATGAATGGGCATCTTTTGGATATATGCCTAAGAGTGGAGTTGCTGGGTCTTGTGGTAGGTTTATTCCCATTTTTCTGAGGAATCTCCATACTGATTTCCAAAGGGGCTGAACCAGTTGGCACTCCCACCAGCAATGGAGGAGTGTCCCCCTTTCACCACATCCTCTCCAGCATAAATTGTTATTGGTGTGTTTGATTTTAGCCATTCTGAAAGGAGTGAGATGGTATCGCAGAGATGGCTAAGGATGTTGAGCACTTTCTCAAGTGCCTCTCAGCCATTTTAGACTCCTCTATTGAAAACTATGTAGTTCTGCAGCCCACTTTTTAATTGGGTCCTTTGATAAAATTCAAAGAACAGCTATTCCAATTCTTCTCAAATTATTTCACACAATAGAAGCAGAAGGGTCTTTGCCAAACTCTTTCTATGAGGCTGCAATAACCTTGATCCCCAAGCCACACAAAGATACAACTAAGAAAGAGAACTTCAGACCAATATCCCTCATGAACATTGATGCAAAAATACTCAATAAAATACTGGCAAATCGGATCCAAGAACACATCAAAACAATCATTCACCACGATCAAGTAGGTTTTATCCCAGGGATGCAGGGATGGTTCAACATACGAAAATCCATCAACGTAATCCACCATATAAACAAGCTGAAAAACAAAAATCACATGATCATCTCACTAGATGCTGAAAAAGCCTTTGACAGAATCCAACACCCCTTCATGATAAAGGTCTTGGAGAGATCTGGAATAACAGGGACATACTTAAACATAATAAAAGCTATATACAGTAAACCAACAGCCAACATCAAACTAAATGGACAGAAACTCAATGCAATTCCTCTAAAATCAGGAACAAAACAAGGCTGTCCACTCTCCTCATACCTGTTCAACATGGTACTTGAAGTTCTAGCTATTGCCATACGACAACAAAGGGGGATCAAGGGGATACAAATTGGGAAGGAAGAGGTCAAACTTTCACTGTTTGCAGATGATATGATAGTTTACATAAATGACCCAAACAACTCTAACAGGGAACTCTTACAACTGATTAACCCCTTCAGCAAAGTGGCAGGCTACAAGATCAGCTCAAGAAAATCAGTAGCCCTACTATATACAGATGATAAAAGGGATGAAAAAGAAATCAGAGAAACATCACCCTTTACAATTGCCACAAACAACATAAAATACCTTGGGGTAATGCTAACCAAACAAGTGACAGACCTGTATCGCAAGAACTTTGAATCTTTAAAGAAAGAAATTAAAGAAGCCCTCAGAAATTGGAAAGATCTCCCATGCTCTTGGATAGGTAGGATCAATGTAGTAAAAATGGCAATCCTGCCAAAAGCAATCTGCAGATTCAATGCAATCCCCATTAAAATCCCAGCACAATTCTTCACAGACCTTGAAAGAACAATAATCAATTTTGTATGGAAAAACAAAAGACCCAGGATAGCCAAAACAACCCTGTTCAACAAAGCAACGTCCGGAGGCATCACCATCCCTGACCTCAAGCTCTGTTATAGAGCTATAATACTGAAAACAGCTTGTTATTGGCACAAAAATAGACAGGTAGACCAATGGAATCGAATTGAAAACCCTGATATTAATCCACACACGAATGAACATCTGGTCTTTGACAAAGAAGCTAAAAATATACAATGGAATAAAGAAAGCATCTTCAACAAATGGTGCTGGCATAACTGGAGGCTGGCATGTAGAAGAATGCGGATCGATCCATGTTTATCGCCATGCACAAAACTTAAGTCCAAATGGATCAAAGACCTCAACATAAATCCAGCCACACTGAACCTCTTAAAAGAGAAAGTGGGTGGGATCCTTGAATGAATTGGTACTGGAGACAGCTTCCTGAACATAACACCACTAGCACAGACAGTGAGATCAACAATTAATAAATGGGACCTCCTGAAACTGAGAAGCTTCTGTAAGGCAAAGGACACAGTCAGCAAGACAAAAAGGCAGCCCACAGAATGGGAAAAATATTCACTAATCCCACATCTGACAGAGGGTTGATCTCCAAAATTTATTTATTTTTTCGAGACAAGGTTTCTCCTTGTCATTTTGGAGTCTGTCCTGGAAATGTGATTTGTAGACCAGGCTGAATTTGAACTCACAGAGATCTACCTGCCTCTGCCTTTTGAGTGTTGAAATTAAAGGCATGTGCCTCCATTGCCAGGCTGGAAGACAGCTTTTTAATGTGATAAATTTAGGATATTTATAAAAACATTTTGGTTCTTTCACATTTGACAACATTTCTATTATCATACATTTGTATTTACTTGAAATATCAAGGCATTCAGTATTCATATTGAGGTTTTATTTTATAGACACACATATAATTCTTTAAGAAACTAGGGTAGAACAAAAAGATAAGAGGTGTTGTTTTTATTTTAACAAATCACCTTGATTAAGACGATCAAATCTATATTCTTGACAGTATATCAGAACCCTAAAGCATCCAAAGATACCTGTCATTTATATCAGTTTACCAGTGTTAATTTTAACTATATTCAGCATTGTCACTGATTCTCATATTATTGTGTAAGGGGTAAATATGTACATAAATAATAAAAATTTCTAAGGATCTTTAAAATTTGAGAACATATTTATAATGTCCATTGTTTAAGGGAAGAATAACTATATGACTTGTTGGGAAATTATCTAAGTACCTGACAGGTAATGTTCTGTCTCCTTTTCTTCTATCCATTTCTCTTTGAGGAACTGGATACCATCGGAAATTTAGTTTCCAGTTAAAACCACCATAAGTCATGTCTGACCCAGCCATGTATTCGAAGGTATCATCACTAATAACATCAATGATAGGGCACACAACGGTTTTCCTGTAGAAAAACAAAAGCCAATTCATTTCTAAGTGATAGCTTCTTTAAGTTGATTATAGAAGATATGATAACATTTATTTTTGTGACTTCACTATACTTAAACATTTTTATTCATTTTCTCTGCAGAAGCATTTCCTCTGGCATCACCTTTCTTCCTCATCATTACCTTAACACTGTGATGTGAAATCTAATCAAATATTCTAACTGACCTTCAAGCTGACTTTAAAATGCATTCTAAGTACTAACTCAGCAGGGTGAACTTGGTCTATTTCTCATAAACTTCTACCCACAGCATGATTAGTCAAGTTGCTCTGATATTATGCATCATTTTAGCTATAATCCACTGAAAAGTAATAGCACAGAGAGATGGAAAATGGATGAGAGAAATTAAATTTGGAGGTTTGCATTTCAAATAGATTAAGTTAGTTTAGAGAGTACAGGGAAACTTGTTCCGGAGAAAACTCCTTTTAAGAAAAGCAGGCAGCATCAATTAAAATCATTAACTACAGGTACCAGTAAACAGTTTCTGTAAGGACACCAGGGCCATGGCAACTTTATCTGCAGGCTGTTAGAGAACTAAGACTCTGTCCTTATCTAATCCAGGTGCTTTGTTAAATAAAGACAGCAATCCTTGTATTTTTGTTCTCCACTGTTTTACCATGGTAAAGGAATAGTCAAGATGTTTCAGGTTCTTGTGAGTCTATTTAGGCTAAGAAGGTTTCATTTAGTTATTTTATATGGTACATTGTTCTGTTCCTGTAGTGGCTCCTCTCATTCTTTGGCTTCTTGTGATTTTAGTAGTTCACTATGGGACCAAGAATTAATCATCAATCTCTACAAGGCAAATGTTCAAGTCTACTCAAGGTGGAATTGCTTATAGATAATTCTAAAGGACAGAGTGATTTTTAAGTCACCCATGAGTATGGGAAGCCAAACAGAACTTCAATTATATAATGCTGGGTAAGCATAATATTATCGTCACTCATTGTCATGTAATTCTTGTATGCCACACAATTGCCCATGGTCTGAAATTCCCTGAAATTAAAAGGTTTCATCTACCCTTGGAAGAACTTCATGGTGAATCTGGACATAATGAAATCATGACTTTTTCCTCTTTACGGCATTTAATAAATTAACATTTAAGGGAAAGAAATCAGATTTAATAATCCAAGCATATTTTCTTTTCTTGTTATGGCAATGTAAAAATATATAACCAGGGGAAAAGGATTCCTTATACACAAATATAATCCAAATGAATTGTTAGAACAAAATTAGATGGTTTATGAATGCTGTAATGAAACTTTATATTAACAATTTATTAAATCGAATATAAAATGCATGTTCAAAGGAACAGTATAACATACAAAATGTTGCCGGAAAATATATTGAAGGTATTCTGAGTTCATTTGCTTTGTCAGTCTCATTCTTCTGTGAGCAGAGTACACATAGAAAATGTTACTAGCTGTCTATGGTACGTAGTTGACCAAGAGATTCCCACTGCCTTCTTGAGCTGCTGTGGTTCATTTCACCGAAAGCCTCCATCTATCTTCATTGAAAGCACCAGCTTCTACTGTTTATACGATGTGACTGAACGAGCTTATACTAGGCAGCAGTTGCTGAAGCGTCTAATTAAAATTTTCAATTTTGGGCTCTTCTACTACAAATGACATGGCTATGCGAGGTGTTCTGCAATGATTTATCATAATAGATAGCATTCAATGTTTGTTATCTTATTCAGGTACAAAGAATTACACTAATTTATCACCGGTGTTTATGAATAGCTACAAAATGTCATCATCATTAGGAAGAACTAAAGGTATGCATGAAGGGTCTTCACTTCTATAAAGTTTAATTTTTCAAATTTTAAAAATGACAGGTAAGAATAATAGTGTTTACATAATTTTAATGTGTTCTGCTCATTTTTTGAACAATGGTATTATTTTATGAAAGAGAGAGAGAGAGAGAGAGAGAGAGAGAGAGAGAGAGAGAGAGTTTTCAAGAACCTCGACTTGAAGTTAAACTAGACTATGATCGAGGGCACTGGAGCAGTGAAGAGAACATGGCTGAGAGAATGAGAAGAACTAAAGTATTCACTAAACTTCCAATAACATAAGCGAGTTTGTAAGAAAATCTCACGAGAGAATTGAAAGTACCAAAGACGCTTTGAAAATTACCTGCAACGTGTGCTATCAGACTGGGTTGATTTACTTCACTTATAAATGCTCAAAACAGTTTTCACTGAATCATTTAATTATTTCATAATCTACTACCCGCAGTGAACACGAAACAATCACATTTTCATCTTAAAAAAGAGAAAAGCTGCTTTTTCAAAATATATGAAATAAGCCTTCCGAAAATAGAACCTTGCACAAGGCATTGTGATGGACAGCTGGAGTTGCCCTGAAAGGTTCAGGTGTAAGCCTTGCAGACTTAACACGAGGCTCCCTACCTGTCTTCCTTTATTCTTGCCAGCAAGGGCTCCAGCCATCCTAAGGTGCACTCGCAGTGTGCATCCAGAAAAGTTATGACCTGTCCTTTTGAAGCAGCTGCTCCTCGGAGACGGGCACGTATTAACCCAGAGCGCTCTTCCATCCTGATAATTTTTACTGGCACTTCTAAAGTTTTGACGTAGTTCTCTAATGTCAACTTGAGAAAATCTGTAACATGGAACAAGAATGGATGAGGAGGGAAATTCAATAATGAGGGACAGCACTGAGCTCACACATGCAGATATCATATGCATATGAAATTATGATCTCATATATAGAATTTAAAGTGAAATAATTTAATAAACATCTTATCAGGTAATTGATACTATATATGAAGTCATATTAATTCTCAGTATTAACTAGTTGGGAAAAATAAAGTTCATTAAAAATCATTTCAGCTGATTTCTGAGTACAGTTAGTGCCAAATAGAATATAAAAATACACTGAAAGTATTTGATTGTTCTTGGAATTAAATGTGCATCAGCAATGTATACTATATATGAAATGCATATATGAATATGTGCTATATTTGTAGGTGGTTCATTACAGAGAATATAGATTATTACTCAGATACCTTCTGACCATAACATTGGTTCCAAATTACAGGTGTGGAAAGCATAGTGTATACCTCTTTCACTGGCATCATCGACCAAGATGACCTCAGAGAGCAGGTAGTGTGGGGAGCGATTTATGACACTATAGACAGTTCTAAGTAGAGTGCTCCAAGCTTCGTTGTGGAACACAATAACTACACTCGTGTTAGGAAGTTCATCAGGGTAGACTTTCGTCTTGCATCTGGGAAAAGACAAAGCAGAGTGATAATGGTAATAAATTCATGTTTCTTCCTGCTCTTCCTCAGTAGGAGTAGTATCACAATACAAATTCAGACTTCATAGTCCTTCACCAAGGAGCTGATTTATGAATATCTGAAATAATTTTCATTTTTATAAGCGCTGTGAGTAATCACTTGGCCTTTTGAAAGTTAATATGCATAATTACCAATATTTTATTTTAACTCCTGCAGGGAACAAAGCAGCATGATTTCCATAATTTTAAGAAAACTAAAATAATATTCAAAAACTGTCAAAAAATTAAAAGCACCAAATACAATAAAGGGAGACAAATTCAATTATTAGAAAAAAATTATTCTTTGTTTTACTGAAAAATAACCATAGCTCAAAAAGTTGTAAAGGTATAAATAGACAATTATATGTACAGTTTCAAAACATGTAAGGCTGAGATTATTTTTCTCTTCTAAAATTCTAGTACACAACCTTTTCACTATGCTTGAGAATGTACTAAACTATTTTTATTCTCAAGGGAAGGCTAGGATTGTGGCTTCTACTATGTCTGGGTATCCTACACTTAAGTGAAAAAATTGGCTACAAGTACTTCCTAAACTTTACTGTGCACAAAATCCCCAAAGGGTTTGTTAAAACGTACATCTAATTTGCTAATTCTAGGATGGAGCATGAAGTCCTGCTTTGCTTCTGGCAGCAAGCAGATGGATCAGTGAGCAGCTGAATGAAAATTATCATTAATTTTACATATTACTATTTGCAAAAACAGTTTTAAATGTACTTATAAATTCAGATGAGTCAAGATTTTACCCCACAGGGCGTCATTTCAAAAAAGGTATGACTGATAAACAATTTGTGTGATTTTGTAAGTAGGTGTCCCTAAATAGAATATGCAGATGGTCATTTCCTCTGTCAGCTTTTCAACCTGTCATGTATTTTAAATCATTTGGCTATGGACTAAGAAAAATGTCAGAGGACTTCTGGAGCAGGAGTAGAAGTTTACTCACCCTAATCTATTTTTAACACGAAATATTCTAAAGAGGCAGAAAAATCAACATAGTTCCATGAAATAAAATTAACCAGATACCTCCTGTCATTTATGATAATATATTATTTTTAGAATTAGTGCTTTTTCACAAGAAATTTTTTAAAATCCAGTGAAATATAGGATGTGATGGCACACAATAAAATAAAACTGAGGATGCCTATTGAGATATTGATCCTTTCAAACAATCTAAAGTGTCACCAAATAAATGAAATCTTCTAAAATATACTCAGGTAAGAATGGTCATATACACGTACATATATAGATATTATAACATTTTCATTTTCTGTGATGGCTATATTTGAAAAATAAACATCCACAAAACTCTACATTGCAAAAGATACTGTGCATATATGACAAAAGATGTGATCTGATAGATTCATAGCTCTTTCTCCCCCATGGAAATGTTCAAACAGAATCCTTGTACTTCATCATCTTTTCCCTTCTATCTCCAGGGAGTTCATCACTAAATGATCTGAGAAAGCCATCTCAGTAATTGAAAAGGGTTCATTCTACTATTTCCTTCAATCCTCTACTCTCTGCCTCATCTCTGCCTCATCAAAATCTCCCACCACCTTCAGAATACCAAGGACAAACTGTGACGGTATAATCATTATCACTAAAGTAAATTTACACAAACAATATGAATAGAGTCCAACACTCAACAGCTACTGGCTTAAACCAAGAATCATAATCAATAAGTACCCAGTATCAAAGAGAGAGAGAGAGTGTGTGTGTGTGTGTGTGTGTGTGTGTGTGATTTGTTTTATGTCAGTGTTTTCTATTTGCAATTTTAAATCCAACTCAGAAAATATGGATTAACACACAGTAATCTTAATAAATAAAATCAGCTGAGTATGGTAGACTATGCCTACTATCACCACATCTATGATGCAGAAGCAAGAGGTTTGCCCTGAGTTAGAAGATACCCTGTGTTGACGATAATAACATCCAGGCCATCCCAGTATGCACCATGATATCCTGTCTCAAATAGCAATAAATTCTTAGCTAAACACCTAGTTGAACTCCTGGAATCCAGTTGTAGAAAGGGAGAAGCTATGAGCAAAAGGGTCAAGACCATGCTAGGGAACCCACAGGAACAACTGACCTGAGCAAGCGGGAGCTCACAGACCCAAATGTGAAAGCTGAGGGACCAGAAGAACCAGCATAGGAGAGACCTGAGCAATCTATGAGGCCTCTGGCAGTGGAATCAGTATTTATTCCTAGTGCATGAATGGGCTTTGGAAGTTCATTCCTATGGAGGGATAGTCTCTCAGCCTAGGTTCATGGAGGAGGGGTCTAACCCCTGTCCCAAATGATGTGATAACCTTTGATGATCACCCATGGGAGGACTCATTCTCCCTAGGGAATAGTTAGGTGGTGAGATGGGGGTTGGTATGGGTCATGGGAGAACAGGAGGGAAAGGGAACTGGGATCGGTATGTAAAATAAAATTGTTTTTAATTTAAAGTAAAATGAATCTAAAGACTTATAAGACACACATTCATCCTTTTCAACTTTAAACTATTTCCATTGACTCTGTTTTGTCATTTTGTGGCTAATGTTAATTCTATATTCATTTATCTATTTTTTATACAATGAACCAACTGAATTTTAATGTAGATAGTATATTTAAAAGTAATCCCCATTGTTTCATTCAAACTGGAACAAAATAATTTGGTTCTTTCTCTTCACTATAGAAGAGCATTCAGTAACCGTGGAGAATGAGTACTTCGTGGCAGTGAGTGTTGCAGGAATATAATGAAGGACTGTGATCACACACTATAAAGCTGACCTGTATGTTTGATGTTATCTATGGGGATTTGTTCTTAAGTTCTTAATATTATCAAAAGCCATGACTCTGTGACTTAGTACTTAAACAGCTTGAATATGGCAATCATTTTTAAATATTTATGAAGACCAAAATATCAAGTGGTGATCCTAAAATCCATATAATTTTTATTTGGAAAGAATATTCAAAAAACTAAGGCACAGGGCAGAGATAATCTAGTAGAAAAGGTTGGGTTTTATGTTTGTTTTGTTTTTTAAATTGCTAATTAAACATTTTTATATGTTTGTTCATTTATTACAAATATATAGACTGGTATGTGATTTCACTGCTCAACCTCAGACAATGCCTGCCAGAAGACTGGATAGGCTGCTGATGGACCTTCCCTACTCTCTGTTATTCTAGACCCAAATCTTAGCACTACAAGACAAAACAAGCTGCAATTTTCACTCCGGCTGGTGCATTCACACTGTGGGGTCCACAGACCAGTGTCACTGTCATTTTTTCCCCTAGCCATACGCAAAAGCAAGCATTACCTCTATTCCCAACCTTATACACCTATGAACACACCAGTTGAGCAGGCCAAAAAAATAGGAAACATTCAGCCAACAGAGTCTCTGAAAATTCAGAGAGGAAACAGAAACCAAGGAACAAAAATCCCACTGACCAAGAAAAACCCAGCACCTAGAAGTACTATCATCCCAAACACAGATATCTAGACTCCAACATAAGAACACGATCAATAACAGCCAGGGCACTATGTGACCATCAGAACCCAGCTATACTATCACAGTAGTCTGTGAATTTTCCCATATAGCTGAAACACAAGAGAAAGACCTGAAAAGCAACTACATGAAGATGATATAGATTCATTTTTTGTGGTTGTTTATTTAAATTAGAAACAAGGTTGATAGGAGATGTCATTCTATATATGTTTCTTTTATTGGTTGTTGAATAAAGCACTGTTGGCCAATAGGAAAGCAAGATAGATGGGATAAGGAGGCACAGTCAGTCACAATGTAGGACATGGGAAAAGCAACATGTGGACCCTTCCTCTGGTAAGAGTAGACCACATGGAAATATTCATATTAGCAATTATGGGTTAAATTCTTAAGTCAGAGCTAGTCACTAAGAAACAAAGCAAATGACCAAAAACTTCATAATTATTATAGCATTCTGTGTGTTATTTGGGGGCTGAGACAGCAGTGAGACCCAAGCAACTGGCAGGAAGATTTTATGTTGCATATGGAGGCAGTGGTGGGATGTTCATTTCCACATAGAAAGATAAAACATTAAAAGGAATTTTAGAAACAAAAATACAGAGACAAGCATGGCTTCTCGGTAGCAGGATTTTTCTCAGGTGTGCTCTGTTTTGCTAGAGACAAGCAGAAAATCACGCAGCAGAAAAACTGTAAGACTCCTTTAAAAGGCCCTGCTAACAACTGAATGGTGTTTATAGGCAGCTGACAGTGGCAGTGACCACATCTCCAAGCCTGCACCGTGCTACCTGATGTCAGCATAGACTGAGGCGGTTGCACAACTCCCAATCCAGATGACAAACTAACTCCCACCGTGTTGGAAAGCCAGCAGTGTTTCTGTTGTAATTTTAACAATGTTCTTTAGCCTATATAAGACACATGGCCAGAAAAACATAAAGTCTTACAGTAAAATCAGATTCAGATGAAGTAAAATATAGGTACACTTGGGAGACTACAAGAAACAAGATATTGGAAAAAAATTAAAAATAGAGTAGCTGAGTATGGTGACATACACCTTTAATCCCAGAAGATTTCCAAAGATATACCCTGTCTCAGAGAAGAAATGAATAAATAGAAGCAAAAGAAATAGAGTAATATAAGCCACATGAAGGTGGAAATTACACTGAGAGTCTAGATACTGTATGCTATTGTGTTTTTCAGTTTTTCCATGGCTCAGGAAGGAACAACCACTGAAATATAATTGATTATAAATGGTGCTGAATTAATCCAACTTATATCTTTTGAAACTGTTTTGACTTCTAAATATAAATTTAAGGACAAGTTACTTGATAAAACAGTTTTTGTTTGTTTCCATAGAAAATGGAAATCTGTGGATTCCTTCCAGGCTTCTATAGTTTGATGAGCCAAGACAACCAGAAGCAGTGGCCCAAATGATCCAATATC